GGTCTATAACTAGTTAAACTAATAATTGTGGCAAATAAATGACACAGCATAAAATATTAAAAATAGCATTGTAACATTCTACTGTTTAAGTTAATACTGTAATATACTACATTAGCAAATGTAATTTTATTTTTTGCCAATTTAAAAAACATGTCCGATTCTTTAAAACACATTAAAATTTGTCGCATTACTCTTACATTGTCTTTATTGCCATGATTTTATAAATTAAAATGTCTCGACTTTAAAAATTTTATAATAAAAGACTATATTTATTTTCATAGTTTATATGCATTAAAAATTTTATATTTGACTTATTAAAATTTAAACATGTAATATATCTGGTTAATTAAAACTAAACAATCTTTTAGTGGATTTTAAAAGCAGTTAATAAATATTCACTTTGTGTTTAATTTTAATTTTATAACTCTAGAAAATGGATCCTGTATTATTGACAATTGCATTAATCCTTGTAATAATTGCAGTATACAATTACTTGTAAATTCCTGATATTTTAAAATATTTTAGTTATATTTAACATATTTCATATTATAAATAGATTTTATACACATGGGTACGATTATTGGAGTAAGCAAGGTATAAATGGACCTAAACCAATACCTATATTTGGAAATTTTCTCAGCGTATTTAAATGTCAAAAGCACAAACTGGATCTCAATTGGTTCAATAAATATGGGAATATTTATGGGTAAATTAATTAAATTAAATATTTATATTATCTATTATTAATATTAATATAAATAACAAACATAATTAAAAACAGGTATTATTCTGGAAGAGTACCTATTTTACGAATATCGGATCCGGAGTTAATCAAAGTTATATTAATTAAAGACTTTCATCTATTTCCAAATCGATCCAAGTTAAACATGTCTAACAATGCAATAACGAGTNCAGGTATTATTCTGGAAGAGTACCTATTTTACGAATATCGGATCCGGAGTTAATCAAAGTTATATTAATTAAAGACTTTCATCTATTTCCAAATCGATCCAAGTTAAACATGTCTAACAATGCAATAACGAGTAAAAATCTAAAACAATTGACCGGGGATAATTGGCATCGCATTCGAGCAATAGTTAGCCCAGTATTCAGTTCGGGGAAAATGCGTAAAATGAAACCTAGGATTATGGAGTGTTTAGGGGAACTGTATGTACGATTAGATGAAAGTCGCTTGGTCAATTTATTGGAAATATGTAGACAGTTTTCAATGGATGCAATGGCCACAAGCGTATTCTCTAGTAAAATTGACATGAACATATTTGTCTCAATGGCCAAGAATCAGCTATATGTTACCCCATTCAAAGAGCTGGCACAATTGTTATTGCCTAATTGTTTAAAGCGATTCCTACCCAAAGGGGATCCCAAGGCAACAAAATTTTTCGTTGACTCCATTCGACATATAATTTCGCAAAGACGACAAAACCCTGATTTAAAACACAATGACTTCATTCAACTACTTATGGACGCGGAAATAGACACTACTAATCTAGGTAGAACAAAAACCACTTTACCAGATGATATGTTTATTGAGAAGCAAGGTAAGGATTTTTGCTAGTTATTTATTTNTCCATTCGACATATAATTTCGCAAAGACGACAAAACCCTGATTTAAAACACAATGACTTCATTCAACTACTTATGGACGCGGAAATAGACACTACTAATCTAGGTAGAACAAAAACCACTTTACCAGATGATATGTTTATTGAGAAGCAAGGTAAGGATTTTTGCTAGTTATTTATTTAGCTTTATTAAATATTGAATTATTATTTCATATTAAATTTTCATGTATTATACAACCAATAATTTATTATGTAAGCATATTTTAATTATATTGGAATACTACATAATTATACCATATTTATTAAAATGGCCATGTCGACTTTAAATGTATAATATATTTATAGTTGCAAACCGGTTGTCAAGTGAGGGAAACAGGAGGTCATGGGATAAGCAATTGTCCGAAAACGAGATGATAGCACAAGGATTCGTATTCCTTGTGGCCACCTATGGGGGAACGGCATTAACCCTGGCGTTCAGTATCTATGAAATGACTGTTAATGAAGATATTCAGCACCGACTATACGATG